CCGTGTCAGAGTTCTACATCGCCCGCGGCGGTGGACTTCTGGTAGGGTAGACGAGGGTGGGTGCCGCTCCAGAAGGGCATTAATGGTACAGTCCAGATCAGTTGCACAGGAGGGGTGAGGATCGTGGAATGTGCTCAAGAGTTGACGCTGCGGACACCTGGAGCCCGCAGCACCAAATTTTGATGAGCTTTTGAATTCGCCCGCCCTCGGCGTGGGGGGCGGAAACTTGGTGCATCTTTTCATCCCTTGCGAAGTGCACGTGTCCATAATACCAAATACTTGTTTGGGATCGAGTCTCTAACGAAATGTAAAAGAGGCTACGCGCTTCGTCCCCTAGAGGCTTCGTCGACGATGGCACCGGAGGCGGAGCGGAGAGATGCAGATTACACTGGGGGGGTCAAAAAACGAACCCACCCACCTTGCCAACCTATCGAGGCCAATGGTAAACGTGAAGCAAACAGAAAATATGATTTTGCATTCCCATCGCCAGTTTTTGTCGGCCACTGTTGGGGAAACTGTTCAGGATTTTCCACACAGCGTTTGAGTTCAGGTCAGAGGTGCGCTCAACAACGAAATTTGCAAGCTTGGCTCGTGGAGGCCGCGCGCATGCGAAACCTAGACTCTGCTTGCGGTGTTTACTCATCTGCTTTTCCACGGTTGCTCGAATCAGCCTTGGGTTGCAACCACGATCTTGACAACGGTTGACGAATGCCGTGCAAGTGTTTCTCTCATGCAAAGCGCATGTGCCCATAATCCTGGATGCAGTGCGGCGGTTGCATAAATGCATGCGTTTTCCAGCGAGGCAGCGTGGGGCACTCGTGGCGACGTCGGCGCGAAGGCCTGGCGGCGCAAGCGTGGGTGGCAAAACAAACCGATAAAAAAAGTGCCCAAGATGGGCCCCGAGAGATGGGCTCCAAGATGGGCCGAGTGCCCCAGCGGGGCCCAAGAGGTGCCCCAAGAGGCCCCGAGGACGACCCAGAAGCGGGCGCAAGGTTGGCACGACCCGCACCTGTCCTGACGGCGGGCTCGCACAGCCAATGACGCTAAATGAGTGCCGCTTTGTATCAGGAAGGGGCTCGCTGTTCATGGGATCCTTCCGCTTTTGCTCCTACAGCCCTCCTCGCGCACCCTGGCTTTTTTTTTGTGACACTCAGGGGCTTCGCTCCCTATGGCGAAGGCCTGACGGCCGGTGCCGCCGACCCTGAAGAGGACCACGACGTCGGCGACGAAGCGGGCGGAGATGGAGGCCGTGGAAGATGAGGAGGAGGAGGAGGAGGAGGAGGAGGAGGAGGAGAGGGCGAGGAGGATGGGGGAGGAGGAGGATGGAGGAGGAGGAGGAGGAGGAGGAGGTTTTGTGACACTCAGGGGCTTCGTTCCCTATTTAGCGTTCCTTTTTTGAGCATCCCGACTGCATCGCACCTCTACAGGCCGGGCGTCTCCTGCGGGGGCCTCTGCGCCGGCGCACGGGGCGGCGACAGGGGCAGCGGCGAGCGCCCACCGGGCCGAGGCCGCGGCAGGCCCGGCCTTGCGCGCGAGGCAGCGACGCGAACGGGGAATATTGGAACACTGGGGAGAGGAAGGAAGAGGAGGAGGAGGAGGAGGAGGAGGAGGCGGAGGAGGAGGAGGAGGAAGAGGAGGAGGAGGAGGAAGAGGAGGAGGAGAAGGAGGAGGAGGAAGAGGATCGATGCAGACGGGGTCCGTCGGTATCGTTCCACCGATCCCCATCCCCATATCCCCATCCCCTTCGAGACCCCCACCACATTGCCACCCCAGGTGGGGAGACCCCTCGAAACCCGAAGGGAACGGCCTGTATCCCCACCTAGGGGGGTAAATGGGCCAGTGGGGCCCAGGCCACGCCGCTGGGGATGGGGATCGGTTAAACGATATTCGGTTAGCCAGAGCGCTGGACCTTGCAAGATCTTCGTCTTCCTCCTCTTCTTCCCCGTTCCTCGTTCCTTCGTCGTCCTTCGAGCTGCTCCGATGCCAGGGCGAAGTGGTTGGCCAACGCTCTCCACCTCCTCCAAAAAAGGATCTTGCAAAGCCAGGATTGCACTGACCTGGGCATCCTGCAACGCCCGATTGATCCGGGTTTGGATTGACTCGGGTCGGTAGATCCCGGAGCGAGGCGGCGAAGAGGCGGCCAGGAGTCGGCGACGGGGCGGCGACCAGCGGGCATTGGGTGAGACTTCCGAACCGCAGGCCAATCATTCAGCCAAGCGACTAAGATCCTTAAATGGAAGCACGGTTTTGAGAATGATTACGTGTTGCTTCTGAGGGGGAAGAGACAGAGAGAGACATGGACTATGATAAAGTACTTGTGGTCAACATATGTTCAACTATATTAATAAGCACAGGATTGGATATGTAATATATTTAGACATATACACAGAAATGTTGTGAAAGAAACCAAGATCTGTCAGGATGGGAGAATAGATACGGCAGACAAGTGGTTGCCAGAGAGTATAGAGCAGAGAGGAATAGAGAGGACGAGAGAAAGAGAGAGAGAGAGAGCGAACATACAGCATATATTATATAAAGAGTGCTGAGCAAGTTGAAGGGAATCCTAAGTACACAAAACAGAGAGAGGGCGTGGATTACTTGCGAAAATGCCAGGAGTTTCACTGATCGCCTTTCCACTGGTGTGATATGTATTTTTATATGTATATATATATATATGTGTGCGTGTGCAGAACACATATATACATATACACACGTATACACATAAACATACATACATACATACACAAATACATACATACATGCATACATGCATGCATGCATACATACATGTTATAATTTAAAACAATGGCGGCGCCACAACTCGTGCGCCGCGCATTCTCTGAATCAGGTCAACGATATGAGCCAATGCCGAGAATAACATTCATCATCCTCATCTCCCTCATCATCCTATCATTCCCCGTCTTTCGTTTCATCCTTCTTCTGCGCCCCTCCCTCCCCTCGACATGTCCGTTCTTGTACGAGATAAGGCCAATCCCGAATCCATCGAGTTGGTGGTTCCAGCCCAACACGACGATCTCCGAGTCCACGGCTGTCGAGGAGCCCAACGACGGGGACGACCAGAAGACGGAGAGCATCTGAGGCGGCCGTGGAGTTGTGACAGAGTCGCCAGACGTCGATGGCATCATTTGAGGGAGGAGTATTATAGGCACGTTGGACAAAAAGGTTTTGACGCTTCGGGTATCCTCACCAGCCCATCGAAGGAACCATCGCTAGGCGAGTTCCCCCGATCCGGGAAGTCTAGCAGCATGCAGTTGAACAGAAGGTGGCAGTCAGTACCTGTGGGAATGGAAAAATGAAGGGGGAGGAAACGGAAGAGAAAGTGGAGGAGTAGGAGGTGGTGGAGGGAGGGAGGGAGAAAAGAGCCAGTCGCTCAAAATTGGGGAGGAGCAGAACGACGATGAGGTGGTAGGAGGTGGAAGAAGGAGGCAGAACGGGAAGAGGAAGAGGATTATTGTCGGCGTCGCGAACGCGTTTTTTTCCGCACAACAGTCCGCAGCAATCTAAGTTATAAGCTCTTTTTGCTACAACAGTAGATTTGCCGGCATCGGAGGAACTCTCGATCGAGATGTATCTTCTTCCGTCCCATGTGCGTTGGCACGTGCGAGCCTCGGGGCCGTACGTTTGCCAGGTTTTCTCCGCCTGGGGACAGGTTAGAGACCGCCCGGTGCCCATAGTATCGCACGACAGGATGCGATTCGCATGCCCGTTCGCCGCCACCTCCGAGGGCCATTCTGACAGACCGCCAGAGCATGCGGCCCTCAGAGGTGGGAAGTGGCGGACATGGAGGTGAAGGGGGCTGGGGAGGTGGAGGAGGAGGAGGAGGAGGAAGCGAAGAAGACCAGAACGAGGAGGAGCGAGAGGAAGCAGGAGGAAGCGGGAGGCGAAGGAGGGCGACGTCGATGGCAACGGCATTGGCCGAGACGAGCAAGAGGAGGAGGAGGAGGAGGAGGAGGAGGAGGAGGAGGAGGAGGAGGAGGTATTGGCAGTGATGGGGAAAGGGGAGGAAAAGGAGGAAATCTAGGAAGAGGAGGAGCAGAAGGAGGAGGAGGAGGAGTTAGAGGAAGAGGCGGAGGAGCTGGTGGAGGGCCCAGATGTAAATACAGGGGCGTTGGCCGAAAATTCGGTGGAGTTCAACCATGTTGGAAATGCTGTGGTCGGCGCCGTGGGGGAGCACAGATTTCGGCCACATCTGACTGGCCAGAAGGGGCCGAAGCCTTCGTGACCCCCGCCTTCGCCGTCGCGAGCGCCGCCAACGTTGAACGTTGATTTCCGCGCGCACATGCATATGGGTACTCTTGCTTCACGCCGCCCAACGCCCGCCCGAAGAGCAAGGTTCCCATGGACCCGCCACAGCTTCGAGTATCTGGTGAGCTGGAATCGTGATAGAACTCTGGCCAGTCTACACGTCCGAGACCTGCGAGAGCTGGATGCAGACCTTTTAGCGTGCGACACGGCTCTGGCCGTCATGTTCCCGCTCCGCTCCCGCACGGGGGCCGTCGAGTTGAGCCCGCAGAGCGGGAGTCACGGCGGGCCCCCAGGAGGAAACGAATAGAACATTTTGCCAGCAGCGGGTGAGAGGAGGAGGAGGAGGAGGAGGAGGAGGAGGAGGAGGAGGAGGAACGCAGCGCCTCAGGAAGGTCTCCCGCCGCGCACGCGGGCGCGCGACGGACTACCCTTTGGCGCCGCCTACTCACGGCACGGTGCCGTAAGAGCAGGAGGCAATGTAGAAGGAGAGCAGCAGGAAGAAGTCGCCTTCAAGGCCGCGGACGCAGGCCAACTTGCCGCCGACGAAGAAGGCGTCGCCGCCGAAGAAGACGCCGTGCCACCAGCCGAACACGGAACGGCAGCGAATCACGACATGGTCGATCATCGCGCCGCGTGGCTGCCAGACGAGCCACCTTGCTGGAGCGGCGCTGCTGGGGTACGTCGGGCACGAGGTGCCAGGCCCTTCACGACGCTCTTGATCGAATCTTGCTGGTTGCGGCGCGTGGACTCGTTGGGCGAGAGCCCAACGCACCTCAAGCCAGGCTTCCGCACTGCACGGACATCTCCTGCAGCACAGTGAGACCCGCAGCGCTTGTAACAGTAAACATGGTTGCCCCTGAACACGTCGTGCCCAAGCGCGGCGAATGCGTCCCCGACCTCCTCGGCCAGGGCAGGTGGCAACAAGGTTGCGGGGGTCGAGGGCTGTGAGATCCCTTCGAGCGCCAAGGCCGCGCCAGGGGCCACGCCAGCCCTCTGGTCGCTGCAGAGAACCCAGCCCCGCCGAAGGCGCGGAAGTACTCGGCGTTGAGAGCACAGGCCACACGCGAAGGGCGACATACACGATGAGAGCCAGTCTGCAGCGACTCGAGGGAGGAGCCCGTTGCGGCCGCGACTCCGCATCGGGTACATCGGCACCGCCCAAGGCTGGCGCAGCAAGCAAGGACATGGCCCGCACTGCGTGCCACCACCATGGGCATGGCCTGCACGCCAGGTGGCCTGGGGACACACGTCGCATCCCCATCGTTCGCGAACAACCACCTGCAGTGCCGCCCGCGAAATGAACTGCAGGACCTTGCGGTGCTGTCGCAGTGCAGCTGATACCGCCTCGGCTACCGACCCAGCCAGCGCGTGAGAGGCCGCACCACAACGCGCGAAATAGTCTGCCCAGCCGTTTCCTAGCCAGTCACGCAGCTCCTGCGGTCATGTGCCCATGAGCTCCTCCAAGGACTTGTGCGCTGGCGCCCATCGGAACTTGGGAGGGTCCCGCAGAGTGCGCCCGCGGCTGGCCACGAAGATGTCCCGCCAGTCCCTAGCATGCTTGGCACGACCCTGCTCGAGCTCGGGGCACCAACGCTTTCCTTCCTGGGCGAGCGCCAGCAGGTCGATGAGGAAGCACTGGTGGCCGGGAAAAGCATCGAGCCCTTCCTTGATCGCGTACCTCTCAGCACGGCCGACAGTCTGCACCAAGTACGGATGGGGTCCGAACCGCGCCCTAACTGGGAGCCAAGAATAAGGATCAAGCTGCACAACTGCTTGTCCACACCTCCGCACCTCGGGAACACCTGGGTCGTAACCAGACCCGTCAGTGTAGGAAAGGGGACCCCAAACGCCATGGGCGTCGCCCCACAGGCAGACATCATGCCTCCGCGTATCTGCGTGTGGCAGAAAGGCGGAGGAGGAGGGGGAGGAGGGGGAGGAGGGGGAAGAGGAGGAGGAGGAGGAGGAGGAGGAGGAGGAGGAGGAGGGGGAAGGGGAGGGGGAGGGGGAGGGGGAGGAGGAGGAGGAAGAGGAGGAGGAAGAGGAGGAGGAGGAGGAGGCGGAGGTGGACGAGGAGGAAGACAACAATCGTTGCAGTACGAATGTTAGGTCATCCTGGTTTCCCGTGCGGGCGTGTGGTGTTCTTGGGCGTTGTCGGCGGGTCCACGGGGAAAGCAGTGCGTGAGGATGTGCCGATTTGCGGCTCAATGTGTGCCGTCTTAAGGAGCCCGTTGGGAGTTTTTGGGTGTCCACGGAGCCCGACGTGTTTCACAGGTGTGCCGAGTTGAGACTCTTGTACGCCGTCTTGAGGGGCCGGCTCCCGGCCTGTGGGGCTACGCCTTGAGGTGCCAACTGAGGGCCCCAGGGCGTCAGCCCGGCGAAGTGAGGCCGTCGCATCCTTGGGAGAGCAGACGTATTGTATTTGCACGTGTCCCAGGAGCTGTGAGGAGACAATAGTTTGCGGAATGTGCAGAGCCGCCCCCAGCATGCAGTTCGCATATGATCTACACTTTCTTCTCCCAAGTCTTCTTCAATTCAGCCGACCTCCAGAACGGCGAAGCCTGTCCTGCTCGCGCAGGGGAGCCCGCCGAATTGCGCATGCAGAGCGGGAGTTAGTGCATCCCCCACCCCAAGCGGAATTGAGCACGCAAATCTCGCAAGCAGTGGGTGTTCGGGGCACGGCTTCAGGTCGGATCTAATATTTGTATGGTTTATGGTGGGGCCATCTTGGCGGCCCTTGAGGAGTCCCGGCCTCCTGCTGCATCGTTGGGCGCGTGTTGGGTTTCACTTGGGGCCCTCCGCGGGCCTGAGGAGGACCTTTGGGCATCCGTGTGGCACGGAGTGCGTGATGGTTGTGCCGAATGGGGATTCACCTCAGCCCTTTGGACCGACAGTTCAAAGCCTTTCGGGGTGTCCATGGGCACGAAGTGCATGAGGAGTTGTCCGACTTGAGGCTGTCTTGCGCCGTCTTCAGGGGCAAGCTCAGCGCACGTGGGGCCCATGAGACACGAAGTGCGTGAGGGGTAATCCGAATTGAGTCTCTCTAGGGCAGTGTTAAGAGATTAAGTGGGAGCCTTTGGTGGGCGGGGCGTAGGGCACGAAATTCGCGAGGCGTTGTCGAATCGGGGCGTCCGTGATCAGGAGTAGGGGTCAGTTGGGCGTTTAGGGGGGATCCCTGGAGCACGAGGCACGTGAGGGCTGAACCGAATCAGAGCAACCGTGGTCTCGTGAGCGCCAACCTGCCGTACTTGTGCGCGGCCCCTCTGCGTCGGAGCGCAGATCCGTATGGCTCCTCCCGTGATCCGCGAGCCCAGGGATTCATGCCATCCGTGTATTTTGAGCGCCTCATGCGACGAGTGGTCGGGCGGGGTGCGCGGAGCCATTCGTAGCATGCCCCAACCCTGCAGATTCGTCGACCTTCCAAACGGCGAAGGACCGCCCTGCTTCCGCTGCCCTCCAGCAAGGTGGGCCCGCCGAGTTGAGCCCGCAGAGCGGGAGGCATGAGGGTACCCACCCCAAGCGAAGACGAGCACGCACATCTCGCAATCGGTGGGCGGTCGGACAAGAGAGAGGTTCGGTCAGGCGAGAAAAATCGGCCAGGCCGAACACGGCCAGGTTGAATTTGGCCACGCCGAGTTTTCAGCTTGGCCGAGTTCTGCCTGGCCGAGTGTTTCTTTGCCGAGTTTGGCTGTGGTCGCACGTCGAGGGGAAAAGTCGGTGGGCGGATGCCATGCGGATGCCCTTTGCCCAAGCTGTCGCGTGAAGCTTGCATTACGTCGGGCATGCCCCTCTAAAGGAAGAAGACTCGAGAATAGTAAAGATAGTATGGTGACCTTTTTTCATATTGGTTTGCTA